ATGTGAGTAAGGTCAGGGGTGATGATAGTTAGAGAAGACAGGACGTGAGTAAGGTCAGGGATGATGATAGTTAGATAAGACAGGACGTGAGTAAGGTCAGGGATGATGATGGTTAGAAAAGGCAAGACGTGAGTAAGGTCAGGGATGATGATAGTTAGAGAAGACAGGACGTGAGTAAGGTCAGGGATGATGATAGTTAGATAAAACAGGACGTGAGTAAGGTCAGGGATGATGATAGTTAGATAAAACAGGACGTGAGTAAGGTCAGGGATGATGATAGTTAGATAAGACAGGACGTGAGTAAGGTCAGGGGTGATGATAGTTAGAGAAGACAGGACGTGAGTAAGGTCAGGGATGATGATGGTTAGAAAAGGCAAGACGTGAGTAAGGCCAGGGATGATGATAGTTAGATAAGACAGGACGTGAGTAAGGTCAGGGATGATGATGGTTAGATAAGACAGGACGTGAGTAAGGCCAGGGATGATGATAGTTAGATAAGACAGGACGTGAGTAAGGTCAGGGATGATGATAGTTAGAGAAGACAGGACGTGAGTAAGGTCAGGGATGATGATAGTTAGATAAGACAGTATGTGAGTAAGGTCAGGGATGATGATAGTTAGAGAAGACAGGACGTGAGTAAGGTCAGGGATGATGATAGTTAGAGAAGACAGGACGTGAGTAAGGTCAGGGATGATGATGGTTAGATAAGACAGTATGTGAGTAAGGCCAGGGATGATGATAGTTAGATAAGACAGGACGTGAGTAAGGTCAGGGATGATGATGGTTAGATAAGACAGTATGTGAGTAAGGCCAGGGATGATGATAGTTAGATAAGACAGGACGTGAGTAAGGTCAGGGATGATGATGGTTAGATAAGACAGTATGTGAGTAAGGCCAGGGATGATGATGGTTAGATAAGACAGTATGTGAGTAGGGGTACGGATAACGATAGTCAGATTGTTTGTAAGTAAGCTCAATGATACTAAAGGTCAAATAAGACACTGATAGTCAGAAAGGACAGTGTGAGACTGATGGTTGAAATAGACAGGGTGTGAGTAGGGTCAGGGATAAGGATGGTTAGATAAGACGGGATGTGAGTAGGGTCAGGGATAAGGATGGTTAGATAAGACGGGGTGTGAATAGGGTCAGGGATAAGGATGGTTAGATAAGACGGGGTGTGAGTAGGGTCAGGGATAAGGATGGTTAGATAAGACGGGGTGTGAGTAGGGTCAGGGATAAGGATGGTTAGATAAGACGGGGTGTGAGTAGGGTCAGGGATAAGGATGGTTAGATAAGACGGGGTGTGAGTAGGGTCAGGGATAAGGATGGTTAGATAAGACGGGGTGTGAGTAGGGTCAGGGATAATGATTTTTATGTAAGAGAGGTGATAAGAAAGTCAGTGATAATAATGTATGATTGGGAAAAGCGTGAGCAAAGTCAATTAAAATGGTAAGGAGAATATATTAGTAAAAAACTGGCATAACGGGCGCCATTCTGTTTGTCTTCCATCAGATCCACAGATACATTGTAAAATGGAAATTTGAATTTTATAACTCTAAAAGTAAAATTGTTGTGGTTGAGAATTATATACCAAGTCAGCCAGGCCACACTTGGATGCTTGGTCCCGACCACATTGTTATTGCCGTTTTTCAAACTCACCTCGGTACAGTAGTATCCTCTCGGGTGTCGAACGTTGAACGCGTGTAAGCTGCATGTGCTAAAGGCAGAAAAACACTGCATTCTATTCTTGGGATCGACCCATCGTCCAGTTTAATAAATGCTCTAGTCAAGGCCAGCCTCTACAAGAAAGTGGTTTTACCTTCTGTGTTATATGGGTGTGAACACTGGGGTCATCTTGGCTAAAAAAACTTACTTTATTAAGTCGTTTCCAGCATTACGGAGCTAAACTCATGCTCCGAGTCCCTCAACGCGCTTATTCAGATATTTTCGAACCTATGCTAGGGTTATTTTGCATTTCTGCGGAAATCGACAAGAGAAAATAACTTCATCTGCAAAAACTTGTATCGTTGGATCAATCCTTCCTCGCAAAGCGTATTTTTACCGTTCGCTTATATTCCTTTTTGAAAGCGCGTTCTGGCAACTGTGATAACTACTGCTCCAAAGGGTACTTCCCGGATATCGTAAATGTGCTACAAAGATATAACTTGGAACCTTTCCTGGATTCGTATCTTCGAAACTACGTATTCCCCTCCATGATACAATGGAAAACAGCTGTTAAATCTGCCATAAATTGTGCTGAAAATTTGGCTCTAAAAGCTCGAATGTCCATAGACCACGATTTCAAGATCTTTAGCAAGTGTCATTCCTCTTACAAACCGTATATAATGTGGCTTGCAGCAGAATCGCTAGCAGACATTCGCGTGCTTTACTCCTTAACCTCTACCTTGTCCACACCAGCTATTCCAGCCCGTGCTGTGTGCGCTCTTTGTTCCGAGCCCATCAATGACGTATTTTCTCACCTCTGCTGTTCCTGTGGTAATACTAATGAACCCCGTAGAAGCTTTCTACAAGAAGTCCTCTCAGACTTTGGGCCAATTATGTACCGATCGCTTGTAAGTGAGGATACGCTTTTAGGCCTGACGTCAGGTCTCCAGCTGCTTGATGCTGCTGCCCAGAAACTTTTTCTGATGAAAGGCGCAAGATTCGTTGTAAGTGCTACGCGCTCCTTCACTTAATTATTCCAATTTTTGACGTTTCCACGCGATATTGAGGATTTACGTTGGTAAATCCTCTACTTCCTCGCGTTAATTGAACTGTTTCTGTTTTCATATATATATATATTCTTTTTCCCTGTCGATTTCTTGTATTACCAATATCTCCTTTGTGAGGAAATAAAGTTTGATGATGATAATGATATTAAACGCATCAGAAAAAGAAATCGTTTTAACGTACTATCCCTTTAGAGACAGCATAATGTATACTTTGCTGATCTCAGTAGGTGGTCTATTAGTACAACTTGTATTATGTGTGATGTCATACTGATGTCTGACAATAAATCAGAATATTCTATGGGCATTTTTATAACGCATCGATGACGCTTATTTTGCCAGGTTCGCCAGCACTTTACGTGATGATCTATAGGAGTCGACTTTTTTATATCTACAGACTATCCTATATATAGTTCAATTAAAAAACGGTTTCTTAGTCATTTCACAGGATCGTCTTCTCACTGTTGGTGATGCCCTGAAGTCATACGAGTAAGTATTGTATATCTCCGCTTCATATTGATTGTGTAGACGGTTTAAAAAGACATGATTTCTAATAATCACGCGATATACGTGAAAATGAATCGTTTTAGATTCAATCTATATGATTCACACGCTATTAAAGGCGTGTATGAGAAAATATTACTTCCAAAACAGCGTTATGCATGTCGTCTGGTTGCTGTTCTAGGCGTCAGACGCCTTCCATTGTATCTCAAATGTGCGGCGGGGTTTTTTTCCACAAAAGCCGTAATGAAGGAATATCGAAAACGACCAGCACGTGCTTGTACCAGATATATTTCGTTTAAATATTTAAACGATATATGTATTCTGTTAGTGGTGCTATCTATTTATCTTGCACACAGATTGCATTCATATTGACAATAAATACAATCTGACGGACGTTTATAATAATAATAATATAATAATATTATTTTTAGAAAGTATCGTGTGTTTATTGTTTTGTTCTTGTTTCTTTGATTTTTTTTTTCTTTGTTGGTTTGACATTATTTTCATCTGTATGTTTATGTTCAGGAAAGCTTTTTGAAAATATAGATCATCTTAATGATTATCGCAATGCTAAAGTGTTATCTGAGCCACGTGCAAAATGACGTCATGTTAATGTCCTTCGGGCAAGACTGCATCCTAACACTATGTTAATGGGAGGTCTTCATGCAAACTGTAATTTAAAAAAAAGACGATTGTTCTGATCTTAGTGTCCTACAAGACCGAGAAAATTATTATAAGAGCTAAACCAAACTTTTACTGTACATAAAAAAATACTGAATAGGTGATGCCAAATTTAAAAGATTCGTGTTAGTGTATAGTCAGATAAAACAATGCATAAGTAAAATCGGTTATAATGATAGGCAGGCAGGACAGTGTGTCAGAAAAATATTGGAAATGAAAGGTCGGATAAGGTAGTGTGTGATATTAAAATCAAAGATACATGGTCACATTAGAAGGGTTAAGGTCAGAAAAGGTGTGTTCAGGACAGTGCATCAGTAAAGTCAGTTATAATGATAGGCAGGCAGGACAGTGTTAGTGGGTTAGGCAATGTGTGATATTAAAATCAAAGATATATGGTCACATTAGAAGGGTTGTAACAAGACAATGAATCATTTAGGTCAGAAAAGAGGTGTTCAGGACAGTGCATCAGTAAAGTCAGGGATTATGGTAGTCAGAGTAGACAGTCTGTCAGTCAGGTTAGGGATATTGATAGTCAGATAAGACAACGTGTCTGTAAAGTAATGAACACAGATGGTCAGATAAGACAGTGTGTATGTAAACATCTACTTAAACGCGTATTACGTTTTTCAATTATAGCGAATTAGTAACCCCTTTATCTCCGCGTTTTTGATGAATATGATTAATGTATATATTTTCAATTTGAAAGTTATTGAAATAATCAGAAGTGGTTTTCTTTAAAGAGAGATATGTAACAAGATTTTGGGCACTTATCTAAAAATCGATTTTCCAAATCCACCATTCTTAAAAACTGTTTGCCTGAGAATGGTGATCAGACCATTTTTCGCATTGCAATATTAGAGGAGGTATACATTTGTACGTGAATAACCGCATTCATAGTTAACGTTAGCCATTTAGAAAAAGGAGGAAACAGTGACGCATGCAACTGATTGTTATGATAATATAACAATGATTTAACACGTGATTATTGTTGCCAACTACTCACGATGTATTTGCTCCTATCCGGATTTATTATTTCCGATATATGTTTTACACGTTAGTATCGCTCAGTGGGAAATTCCTATCCCAAAAATAGAACAGAACAACCCTGCATGAGCTACATGATTTAGGTAAGTTTATTTGTCTTTTGTGTGCTGTATTGCCGTCTCCATCATTGCCTAAATAAATATTATTTGTTAAATGTTTTCATGGGCTAGGCATCTAAATAAATCACTTGCTGTGCTCGAGTTCAGACTAAAAAACGGACTTACTACTGTAAACATCTGAAGAGCGGAAGAGGAACATGCGTTAGAACTAGACAGATGACGCTGTTGATATTCGGTCAATATCATTCTCCTATCAATAAAACTCTGTTAATGTTCAGTATATATACTTTTATGAAACGGTCACAGTATTCCGAGAAATCCTGTATTCGTATGTGTGTAGAACTTCACGTAAGTCCAACACTAAACGGTGATCCGGAAATGAACTGTTTACCTCCCTTCATAATTTCGGTTTAAATTTTATTGTATGTAAATGAACAGTGTATTTCAAATAAGAAAAAAAAAATGTAGATTATAATAAATCTAATCAAATGATACAATTGTCTTACACATAAAAAATACTCACGTACAATATGTAACTTACAGAAGTGAGAGACACAGAGAATGAAAATTTATCTATATACCAAAATTACTCAAAAAGGAAGTGTTAAATGAAAAGAGGACATAAATATCTGTATGCAGTAGGAATTCGTTCAGATTTATTAGTTTAGATTGTAAATGTTAAAAGTGATCTACAACTTAAAGTTTTGGTTTTTTGGTCATCTTGTTTGGCAGTCATCATGTGTCATACATTAAATTTTCTCATTTGGAATTTTTTTTCAAGTAATTCTCTATCATGAAAATACATACTCAGTAATATCTTTCTATTAAACAAAATGTATTCCTTCAAAATCATCCATCATAATGCTAAGTGTTCCTCTCCTATGTTATAATGCTAGATGTTCCTTCACTGTCCTATGTTATAATGCTAAGTTTTCCATCACTATCCTATGTAATAATGCTAAATGTTCCTTTACTGTCCTATGTTATAATGATAAATATTCCTTCACTATCCTATGTTATAATGCTAAATGTTTTTTCACTATCCTATGTTATAATGCTAAATGTTCCTTCACTATCCTATGTTATAATGCTAAGTGTTCCTTCACTATCCTATGTTATAATGCTAGATGTTCCTTCGCTATCCGATGTTATAATGATAAATATTCCTTCACTATCCTATGTTATAATGCTAAATGTTCCTTCACTCTCCTATGTTATAATGCTAAATGTTCCTTCATAGTCCTATGTTATAATGCTAAGTGTTCCTTCACTCTCCTATGTTATAATGCTAAATGTTCCTTCACTATCCTATGTTATAATGCTAAGTGTTCCTTCACTCTCCTATGTTATAATGCTAGATGTTCCTTCACTGTCCTATGTTATAATGCTAAGTTTTCCATCACTATCCTATGTTATAATGCAAGGTGTTCCTTCACTATCCTATGTTATAATGCTAGGTGTTCCATCACTATCCTATGTTATAATGCTAAATGTTCCTTCACTATCCTATGTTATAATGCTAAATGTTCCTTTACTATCCTTTGTTATAATGCTTAATGTTCCTTCACTATCCTATGTTATAATGCTAAGTGTTCCTTCACTATCCTATGTTATAATGCTAGGTGTTCCTTCACTATCCTATGTTATAATGCTAGGTGTTCCATCACTATCCTATGTTATAATGCTAAATGTTCCTTCACTATCCTATGTTATAATGCTAAATGTTCCTTTACTATCCTATGTTATAATGCTTAATGTTCCTTCACTATCCTATGTTATAATGATAAATATTCCTTCACTATCCTATGTTATAATGCTAAATGTTCCTTCACTATCCTATGTTATAATGCTTAATGTTCCTTCATTCTCCTATGTTATAATACTAAGTGTTCCTTCACTATCCTATGTTATAATGCTAGATGTTCCTTCACTCTCCTATGTTATAATGCTAAGTGTTCCTTCACTATCCTATGTTATTATGCTAGGTGTTCCATCACTATCCTATGTTATAATGGTAAGTTTTCCATCACTATCCTATGTTATAATGCTAGGTGTTCCTTCACTATCCTATGTTATAATGCTAGGTGTTCCTTCACTATCCTATGTTATAATGCTAAGTGTTCCTTCACTATCCTATGTTATAATGCTAAGTGTTCATTTACTATCCTATGTTATAATGCTAAATGTTCCTTTACTGTCCTATGTTATAATGATAAATATTCCTTCACTATCCTATGTTATAATGCTAAATCTTCCTTCACTATCCTATGTTATAATGCTAAATCTTCCTTCACTATCCTATGTTATAATGCTAAGTGTTCCTTTACTGTCCTATGTTATAATGCTAAGTGTTCCTTCACTATCCTATGTTATAATGCTAAGTGTTCCTTCACTATCCTATGTTATAATGATAAATATTCCTTCACTATCCTATGTTATAATGCTAAGTGTTCCTTCACTATCCTATGTTATAATGCTAGATATTCCTTCACTATCCTATGTTATAATGCTAAATGTTCCTTCACTCTCCTATGTTATAATGCTAAATGTTCCTTCATAGTCCTATGTTATAATGCTAAGTGTTCCTTTACTCTCCTATGTTATAATGTTAAATGTTCCTTCACTATCCTATGTTATAATGCTAAATGTTCCTTCACTTTCCTATGTTATTATGCTAAGTGTTCCTTCACTATCCTATGTTATAATGCTAGATATTCCTTCACTATCCTATGTTATAATGCTAAATGTTCCTTCACTCTCCTATGTTATAATGCTAAATGTTCCTTCATAGTCCTATGTTATAATGCTAAGTGTTCCTTTACTCTCCTATGTTATAATGTTAAATGTTCCTTCACTATCCTATGTTATAATGCTAAATGTTCCTTCACTTTCCTATGTTATAATGCTAAATGTTCCTTCACTATCCTATGTTATAATGCTAAATGTTCCTTCACTATCCGATGTTATAATGCTAAGTGTTCCTTCACTATCCTATGTTATAATGCTAAGTGTTCCTTCACTATCCGATGTTGTATTGATAAATATTCCTTCACTATCCTATGTTATAATGCTAAATGTTCCTTCACTCTCCTATGTTATAATGCTAAATGTTCCTTCATAGTCCTATGTTATAATGCTAAGTGTTCCTTCACTCTCCTATGTTATAATGCTAAATGTTCCTTCACTATCCTATGTTATAATGCTAAGTGTTCCTTCACTATCCTATGTTATAATGCTAGATGTTCCTTCACTGTCCTATGTTATAATGCTAAGTGTTCCATCACTATCCTATGTTATAATGCTAGGTGTTCCTTCACTATCCTATGTTATAATGCTAGGTGTTCCATCACTATCCTATGTTATAATGCTAAATGTTCCTTCACTATCCTATGTTATAATGCTAAATGTTCCTTTACTATCCTATGTTATAATGCTTAATGTTCCTTCACTATCCTCTGTTATAATGCTAAGTGTTCCTTCACTATCCTATGTTATAATGCTAAGTGTTCATTTACTATCCTATGTTATAATCCTTCCTTTACTGTCCTATGTTATAATGATAAATATTACTTCACTATCCTATGTTATAATGCAAAATGTTCCTTCACTATCCTATGTTATAATGCTAAATGTTCCTTCACTATCCAATGTTATAATGCTAAGTGTTCCTTCACTATCCTATGTTATAATGCTAAGCGTTCCTTCACTATCCTATGTTATAATGCTAAATGTTCCTTCACTATCCTATGTTATAATGCTAAGTGTTCCTTCACTATCCTATGTTATAATGATAAATATTCCTTCACTATCCTATGTTATAATGCTAAGTGTTCCTTCACTCTCCTATGTTATAATGCTAGGTGTTCCATCACTATCCTATGTTATAATGCTAAATGTTCCTTCACTATCCTATGTTATAATGCTAAATGTTCCTTTACTATCCTATGTTATAATGCTTAATGTTCCTTCACTATCCTATGTTATAATGCTAAGTGTTCCTTCACTATCCTATGTTATAATGCTAAGTGTTCATTTACTATCCTATGTTATAATGCTAAATGTTCCTTTACTGTCCTATGTTATAATGATAAATATTCCTTCACTATCCTATGTTATAATGCTAAATGTTCCTTCACTATCCTATGTTATAATGCTTAATGTTCCTTCACTCTCCTATGTTATAATACTAAGTGTTCCTTCACTATCCTATGTTATAATGCTAGATGTTCCTTCACTCTCCTATGTTATAATGCTAAGTGTTCCTTCACTATCCTATGTTATTATGCTAGGTGTTCCATCACTATCCTATGTTATAATGGTAAGTTTTCCATCACTATCCTATGTTATAATGCTAGGTGTTCCTTCACTATCCTATGTTATAATGCTAGGTGTTCCTTCACTATCCTATGTTATAATGCTAAGTGTTCCTTCACTATCCTATGTTATAATGCTAAGTGTTCATTTACTATCCTATGTTATAATGCTAAATGTTCCTTTACTGTCCTATGTTATAATGATAAATATTCCTTCACTATCCTATGTTATAATGCTAATTCTTCCTTCACTATCCTATGTTATAATGCTAAATCTTCCTTCACTATCCTATGTTATAATGCTAAGTGTTCCTTTACTGTCCTATGTTATAATGCTAAGTGTTCCTTCACTATCCGATGTTATAATGCTAAGTGTTCCTTCACTATCCTATGTTATAATGCTAAGTGTTCCTTCACTATCCTATGTTATAATGATAAATATTCCTTCACTATCCTATGTTATAATGCTAGATGTTCCTTCGCTATCCGATGTTATAATGATAAATATTCCTTCACTATCCTATGTTATAATGCTAAATGTTCCTTCACTCTCCTATGTTATAATGCTAAATGTTCCTTCATAGTCCTATGTTATAATGCTAAGTGTTCCTTTACTCTCCTATGTTATAATGTTAAATGTTCCTTCACTATCCTATGTTATAATGCTAAATGTTCCTTCACTTTCCTATGTTATAATGCTAAGTGTTCCTT